AGAGAGAGAGAGAGAGAGAGAGAGAGAGAGAGAGAGAGAGAGAGAGAGAGAGAGAGAGGTGGAGGTGGAGGAAATCACCTCTCTCATTCATGGTTCGTGTACTCACACTGAGAATTATGAACTGATAGATAAGAAAATATCTAATCTCTATCGGGCTCGTACTTGTTAGATCAACTCGAGAGGAATTATGATAGTCGATCGATCATAGGAGATGATAGGACGGCATTTTGTTTCTGTTTGAGAACTTTGGGGAATCCCGAGCTGGGATCTTGACCCAGATGTGTCCGCTAACATACAGTCAATTTTCGTTTTTTTTTCAGGACGACAGCGCGTGTACACAAGCGTCAGGCACTACCGGTAGTTAGCGCAGGCAGTTATCTTCTAGTGTGGCCAGGGCATTTCTGAAGTTCTGAATGCCATTTTGAATAGGACAGCGGAAGCGGTTTTTTATTCATCCCCCTCATCCTGCCCTCCCCTTCCCCCCAACTCCCCCCCCTCTTCCCCCCTCCAAATCCCACCTCCCCCTGTCCCGTTCTACCCTTGGTGGGTACATGTTGCAGCTGTTATGTTCATCACCATATATTCATTCCTCGTCCATCCTTTTTTTCTTTTTATATATACATCTTTTTATATATACATATATATAAAACACGCCCCGACCAGTGTTAGTGGTGATTCCTGTGATGGAAGCCGTTGCCCTGTCTGCAGGATTGCTGTCCTGTTTGTGCCATGCGTTGCTAGCATGGCGACAAGTGTGACGATAGATTTTGTTCCTGACCGGGTGACTAGAGTAGGTGGTTTCGAGAGCGACAAGCTGGTTGATCCAATTATCGTTGATTGACCCGTCAATCAATCGACGGATGCCAACTGCAGCTTTGATTGACACGTGGTTTTCAATCTAGTAGCTCCCCGTTTGCAGTTCCTTTGTTAGGGGAAGCGATGTGATTCATCTCCCTCCGAGCCGGTCGCTGAGTGATCGATCAACTGGTTGATTTTGTTTCTAACTCTTTTTTTTTTTTTTTTTTTTTTTTCCCTAAGTTAACTCGGTGAGCAGGTGACTCCTTATTAGAATAGGGCGACTCAATCAATCCTTTGTGCCCCGCAGCCCTCGTTTTATATTGGTATCGGCTTTCCACATTCATGGATTTGACTTATTAGAAGAGGCCCAAGAGGGCAACGATCGATCCTTTGTGCCGCTCGGTTTATATGGGTATCGGTTTTCCATCGATGGACCTTTTGACTTGTTAGAATAGGGCGACTCAATCAATCCTTTGTGCCTCGCAGCCTCGGTTTATACGGGTATCAGTTTTCCATCAACGGACCTTTTGACTTATAAGAATAGGGCGACTCAATCAATCCTTCGTGCCGCTTGGTTTATATGGTTATTGGTTTTCCATCGACGGACCTTTTCGTTGATTGACCAATAGATCGAGATGAATGACATCACCGCAACCGCAGCTTCAATCAAATGCAGCAGCAGCTTCGATCGACAGGAGTCTCAATTTCTTTCCAACAACTTTCGAATTTTTTTCCTTAGTAATTTCCAGCAGCGGCTTCGGTAGTGGGTGTGAGCTTGTGATTCATCTTTGTGATGGCCATAGCGAGTGCTGAAAAGGGTGTGGTATGCTCATCACATTTTCTGTTGATTTTGGTGGTTTTAGAAAATGCTCGCCTTTGTTATCAATACGTAGTTTCAGGAGTGGAGAGTGCTCTCGTCGTTTTTTTTGTTTTTTTTGTTTTTTTGGAAACAACATCCCTATATTTTATTTTATTTTATTTTGTTTTATTTTATGTCGAACCAGTTTTCTGATGATTGTGCAGTTTTAGGAGTGGAGTGCTCTCGTCGTGTTTAACTTTTTATTTTATTTTATGTCGAACCAGTTTTCTGATGATTGTGCAGGCAAGCCAACTTGAATGATATTAGTGTTTATTTAGAAGTACTCGAATTTCTTATGACTAACGGAGATTCAGGGAGTGGAGTACTCTCTCGTCGTTTTATGACGAAACGATTTTCGGAGTGGAAGTACTGAAGAGTGGAGAGGGAAGTTTCATCCGAATACTCAAAGAAGAGTGGTCTTCTGGATGGTGCAGACTAAAGCTAAATGTGATTATTCATTTCCGTTCGATGGCAGCAATAGTAGTGGTGAGTAGTGAGTGAGAGGCTCTTCTGTTACGTGTTTAGTGTAAGTGTTAAAAATGGAAAGTCAAAATGTTCATTTTGTATTGTTCTCCCTTTTTGATTG